TTTGAAATAAGTGTATATCATCTATAAACTGGTTAGAGCATGGTATCTTTCCAAATCTGGTACACTTAATCTGTTCTCCCATAGCTTACCCAAAGATATTTCCAGCATTAGACACATCAAACACTCGGAGGAGCGTGGGACTCTTGATCTCGGGGTCATGAGTGCCAGCCCCACATTAGATGTAGAGATTACTGAAAAATAAAATCTTTTAAAAAAAAGAAAGAAAGAAACATCAAACATTCTGCTTACCCAAACCATTCTGTGGTTTCTTGGGTCTTTAGTGCTGAGCTCCCAGCAGGGCATGACCAGAATTCATAACTATAAGTTATGAAAATTTTCATAGTGGATTTACACTGAAGAAATACATGATTTATCCAGCCAGCCGTTGGTTTCATTCACTGTGTTCTTTTGTTAATTTACATTTGGAAATTCCTCATTTTTAGCTTAGGATACTCCAGGCCTCAAAGAAGTAGTTAGGTTGAATTATTATTCCAGTTTTTTCTTTGCGATGCCTTCCGCTCCCATGCTGGTATCTCTGCCTATTTGACTGTCTTCACACCCAGGCATCTGTAAATGTAGTATTTCTTTTTTATCTTAGACTGGTTTCAGTTCCTCCTGCGTAGACATCAAGCAAGATCTCTTGTGACAAATCAACCTCAGAACAGCTTCTTGGTTTCCACCCACTTTTGGGTAGCATGGAAAGATTTCCAGATTCTTGTCCCTTAAAATCCAGTTATGTTCTTTCTTTGTTTTCTCAACTTTCTGTCTTTCTTATCCATGATTTCTTCTTATGGTTTTGCTGTGTAAGTACCACCTTTCCCCCTTTTTGTCTAATTTGGCAAAAATGTTTCCCCAAAGTCTTGTCTTTATGTTTAAAAGCTCATTGAATAGTGGCCAGGTAAAACCCAGAGACCCTATAGTCAATACTACCTCCAAGGTTCCTTCACATGTCTGTGTTCAGTTCTTAGTTCCCTCATTATTTTCCCAATTTATGATATTCTCCCCTTTCAGTTTCCCTCCTTACTGATAGTCTGCCTTCTGTTTTACATGAAGACCTCTGTTTTTCCAACTGAAGAGAAAGAATATACGTGTAGTAATCAACTTACATTTATGCTGAAGTGCAGTTTTATTTGGGTACTTCTTTTGTGATTTATCTGTAATTTGTACTTCATTTATGTGTGTGGCATTTCTAAACATATTTCTGAAGCTGCCAGATATCTGAGTAATGAGACACTCAGTAGTGTTTCTACCCAATAGTTTTGTGAATTGAAGAATCCCATTTATATTCTGTTTACTTCTGAAGTATTTAATTATTCGGCTTTATATTATATTGAAATGAGAAATGGTGGGAAGTCTCTGATAAGTAAAATTGTATGTAGTCTCCGTGTGTATTCTTTGATGGAGTGCCAGAGTTTCTTGAACTGGAATCCATACGAACCTCTTGTCCTACAAGGAGTGGAGGGGCTTCACGTGCCCCCCAGGCAGAGCTGAAGTGACTCCTGATGAGCCGTGAACAAACCCGTATCACGTGACGGAGGCCGCCGCGCAGTCACCGCCTGAGGAGTCCGCCATGTGGGAGCGGTGAGCAGCGCGCAGGGGAAGCAGGCGGCCGCGCTCCTCCGGAACGGCGTTGACCGAGTTCTCGTGCCTCCTGTGGGCACAGCGGGTTTTATGGATGTAATCCGGAGCATAACCCTAGGCCTGGAGAAGCTGTGCTCCAGAGTCAGTGGATTCGAGATTCACTCCAGAGGAGATTTTTCCAGCCTTGTGGGTACCTATGAGCCTTGGAGGTACCTTCTTACTCCTACTTCCCTGTCAGATGTACTTCTTTTCCTGGCTCTTCTTGATGTTTAAGAAGGATGCTTGATAGTCTGCATTAGTTTCATTTCCTAACTGGGCGTAAGTCCCTGCCCTTCTTTAATTGTTATTTTAATATCGAATAGTTGCCTACACCTGTCAGTGACATTACTAAGTAATTAGGGTCTAAAAATTTAACAAGGAGCTAATTTATGTATAATAGTATGACATTTATAAAAACCCTTTTAATTTTTTATATTGCTTCACTTTGGGATTCACATTAGCCGTGTGAGTTAGAGTGCTTTATCAAACCAACATTCAAGTGCATTTACCTGCCTGGATCTTAAAATCTAATTTGTAGCAGAGCCAGGACTCAAACTCAGGGCACCTTGCCCCTTGGTGATGTACTTAACACTCCACCACACACAGTTCTGCGCTGCACTCTATTTTAGGTTTTGAAACATGGATTTATTGGTCTCTTTTGAAATGGACATGCTTGTTCTGTCTGGGTGTTACTTTGCTCTTCTCCAGCCACCCAGCTGCACAGTACGTTTTTGGCAGTGTTGGAGATAATGTTTGCAGATTTCCGATGATTTCTGCTCTTAGGCCAGTTTGAACATCCTTAACAGGTTGCTACCTCATGCATGGAAGTTTTGGTCATCATTTTCCAGTCTTAATCTTGGTTGCTTTACATCATTAGGTCATTTTTTTCACGTATTCTCATCATCTTATTGTCCTATAAGCAACGTTTTTAAATGAAATAAGGATCTAGATCTGATGATTACCAAACCCTAGAGATCTATATCTCAGGGATACATCCTTATTCCCCTTAAATACGGAATATTGTTAAGAACATCTCTGCTTTTTATGAAAAGGGAATTCAAACAGACTTTTAAAATGAAAAATGAGAACCAGCCTGAATGAAGTTTTATTCCAATCTCCTGTTAAATCCTAAGAATGGGCTGCTGGCCTCCATTACTTTCAGGAAATGAAAAGTGGCTCAGAAGCTAAGTGAGCTAAGCCATGTCTCTCTCAATTGTTTCAGTTTCTCAGGAATTGCTGTACAATGCTGCCAATAACGATCTCCGGGGATCTGACCCCCATTCCACCTCCCACTGCCTCCTCTGCAGCTCCAGATGCCACCAAAAGAAGGAGCTTTGAAGAAAGTGCCTGTACCCTCTTTTACCCTGAGGTGGGTGAGGCCAGGCAGGGTGATTCTCAGGATATCCTGATGATCAAAGGTACAGTTGAAGCCTCATCAAGACTTTCTTGAAGATGAGCAAGAAATTTGGGAAACGTTACCAAATAGCCTAGAAACTGAAGACGGAGCTCAAGAATGGATGGCACAAATGCCATCTGAAATGTAGTACATGATGACATTCAAGATCCTAGATCAGCTCCTTGAGGGCAGAGACTTGTATGCTGTTTTTATATCTCTCCCCCACCTCCACAGTGTCTAGCATAGGACTAAGCATATAAAGTGCCCTCAATAAATGTTAGTTTATGACTGAGAGAGAAGACTTTATAAAAAGTACTCTCTAACACCTCCTTTCCCTTGTAGTTAATCTAAGATTGTTTGCCCATTCATCAGGAGAATAGTGATAGAGAGTTCACTGATGTCTCAAGCTTCTTGGCCACTGTTGTCTTCTGTCTTGGCTGTGTGTCTGAGTAGGAAATATTTATCTGTCCAGTGCATGAATTTTTCAGTATTAATACTTAAAAAGTTATGTCTTCACTTAGATATTTTTATTGTGGTATTTAGCTCTTTAATGGAAATTTTATCTGAACCACAATCTAGGGGAGATTTATTATACTGTTGGTTTTTAAAATCCCTTTGTATTTATTTTTAAGATTCAACAATAAACAGTATTGCTTCTTGATTAGATCTCACATTAGTCGTCACTGTTTGAGAAATAGGTTGTACTATCACAATATCAGTTTCCCAAAAATCTAACTTGTTACTCTTGAATGGCAACACATAGTCCTATATCTCACCTGGGCAACGCTAAAAGAGCCTGCTAAAAGAGGATTTACAGTGATGTGATTTAAGATACTATATAAATAAAACAGAGCTCGGGGTTTATTATTTCTCTCAGAGAAAGGGAAATACTAGAAACGTAGCTCCATTCAGTTCTTCTGTCCTCAGGTTGTTCTTCATTCACTTAGTCACGTCTTCATTAAGGAGTTAACTCTCATTTAGAGGCAGATCTTAAAAATCTCATCTTCAGGTATTTGATTTCTTGTACCTTTTGTGCTTCTGGTTACATGTAAGGCTTTCTATTTGTAATTTCTAGTTAAAAGTGAACATTTCACAGTACTGCTAGTTTTTTGATAAACATGAGATGGATATTTATTATGGGTTCTCTACAGCTGGCTTTTTTGGTTATAAGGAATCCTGTATCAGAACCAAGTATATTTTATCCAGAAAAATAATCTTTCCTGAACAACATACTTTTCAGTAAGAAATGTGTTAAATTATGCTGCATTGATTTCGGGTTTTGGCAAAAAGTGTAACTTTTTGAAAGGAAATTGTTTCTTTGTCTTTATGACCTCTTATGTATATAGGAACCTTATGTGTACAGCTTTAAAGTAGGTTTGCTCTGTTCCATGGATAAATTAGTCACCAGTTCTTCTCGAGTATGCTGTAGAGGAAACACACAGACTAGGAAAGTGACTTCTGTGGAGTAGATAGGATGTACTGATTTAAGGTCTGACTCTGCTTCTCACCTCTGATTCTATCAAATGAAATGCTCAGGGTGGACCTGCTTTCTCACATTAGTCATTCCTAATTAATTGCATTATAAATGTTGTTTGTCAGTTCATATGATGAATTTGAATTTCAGGAATAGACATGATTAGAATATTGCCAGTGACCTTTATCAATAAATGTCTTAATATGTTTCATAGTAGTGATACGTAAAAACTAAATTGTGTATTCTGTTCATTCTTCCACTAAAACTAGTTTTCCCTCTGTTAACGTAACAGGAGAAAATCATGTATATGAGACCTGTGAAATTCTGTCGGCAGCACATAGTATGGTTTGTCGTCTGCTTATTGTCTACTTATTGTCAGCTTAAAAGTTGTGTTATTGCAGGGAATGGCAGTGACAACAACTAAAATATTACAGTTCTCACACAAAATCATTTGACTTTATTTTTAGACTTGAATTTTCCTATGATGTCTATCTTTTCCCCTCTCTCCAGGTTCTCTGCCAACCTCAGAAAAGTCTTCCCAGCGACCATCAGAGAGCACAACCTGTAGCCCTACCCGGAAGAGGTCGTCATCTGAGAGTACTTCTTCAACAGGCAAGTACTGTTTGTTTTACCAGACTTTAACTAGAATTTCCCATCTGTTACTTGTGAACAGACTTAAAATATGATACTATAAACTTTTACAACATAAATTACAATTTGTATTTACGTACCATAGAAAAAAACAAAAGCGGTTGTGGGATGTGTGACTGAGCAGAAGTGCTCACTAAACCAGTGTCCTGGTCCTCCCTTTTGTGCTCCTTAAGTCCAGGTAAGCTTGCTCCCAGATGTGTAGTGGTTTTGATGTGGTCCAGAGGGAATAATTCAAAATGACTAGGTACAAAAGTAGGCAGACACAAAATAGAGATTTTAAAAGTTGAGTTGAGGTAAAGGAGTGTGTGGTGTTAGAGGGCAATGTGGATTGGAACTGTTTAATAAAGGCTTGGCTATGTATATAAAATTGTCTTAGTTTCCGAAGTAGCATTTACACATCTCTGAGATGTGCAAAACAATTTATGAGGTTGTAAGAAGAATCTCTATTAATACTTATTTCTAACCTCAACTTTTAAAATGTGTAATGTTTATATATTTTAAATATGTATAACCTCTTAATACAGTATATCATATTTGTGTAGTTCATACATAGATTTAGAGGATGCTCTCAATTTTTGCTTTTTACTGATTGTGTGTTTATAAAAAAAACAAAACTAGAGGGTAATATATATGTATTACAGATATATATCTCATATTTAGGGTATACAGATATATGTATATATATCTGTCCTCTGAGGATTGCAGAGAAAGAAGTCCTTTCTAATCTGTCAGTGTCATCAGGAGAGATGTGCACTGGTAGGATCATTCTAGGCAGTGGAAGTAACATATGTAAAGGGGAGAATAGTGAGTTTAAGAAATTAAATAAAAGAGCCAATGTGGTTAGGTAAAGGGACTAAAGATGAGACTGGAAAGGCATGTAGGGAACCTTATTAATAACACTCAGGAACCATTAAAAATTTTAGGCAAGAAGTGACATACCATTTCTTGGCTTTTTGTCATATTTTTTGATTGGTGGATCACTTGTGACTTATAGTCAGAAAATCTGATTCCTTCATCAGTTCAAGGCCAGCCTGTCAAATTGTACCCGTGTCATGCTTGTTGAATTTATCTGATGATGGGCTTCAGCATGTTTGAAGCTTTTTATTAGCACCATTGTGCCAGAGGTACAGTTGAACTCAAGCAGCAGTGAGGGTTTTGTCTCTCAGAGCGCTTTGTTTTCATACTGCTTCAGAGAGATTCTTAAACAGTGAGTGACTACTTTTGATGGTATCGACCTAAGCCAGGGCTTAGTAAACTGCAGCCTGTGGACCAGAGGCTGTCCAAGGCCTCTTTTAGTGCAGCCCTCAGCTAGAAATCGTTTTTACTTTTATTTTTTTTTAAGATTTTATTTAGAGAGAGAGAGGACTAGCTGGGAGAGAGGAGAGGAGTAGAGGGGAAGGGATAAGGGAAGGGAGAGAATCTCAAGCAGACTCCCCAGCAACTGCAGAGCCTGACACAGGGCTCGATCCCGCGACCCTGAGATCATGACCTGAGCCAAAGCCAAGAGTTGGACGCTCAACCGACTGAGCCACCCAGCTGTCCCTGGTCTTCTGTGTTTAAAGGATTGCCTAAAAAGATAAAGGAGAGAAGGGAAAAAGTGTATGTGAGACATCATATGTGTCCTCGAAAGCCTAAAATATTTACCACTGAGATTTCTACAGAAAAAGCTTGCCAACCCCTGAAAAGAAAGAATGAGATTCCAAGGAGACAGCCACCGAAGAAAATCACCAACATATTTTACTTTAGTAAACAAAGGAAATAATACCTAGATCCATAAAGTTACTCTTACCATACGACTGTTCTATTCACTCAGGTAAATATTTATGGAGAGTAACTGAAGCCTGAGCATTGGAGATACAAACATGAATAAGATAAGGCTCCTAGCCTCAAGGATTCTGACATAGTCACCAGCAAAGGTGTGTTAAATTCTGTAACGGACCAGTGAGCAGATGTGGTGACATGCAGAGGAACTCCAGCACTTACCATGTGCGTGACTAAAGAAGACACCCCTCAAGGTGTGACCCATAAACTACCGTCATTTGTGTCGACACGTGGGGCAGAGTGAAGAGTAAGAGGGTGTTTAACACAAAGAAAGGCCCAGAACCATAAAAGAGAACGCTATTTTTGGAGAGCAGCACATTGGTGTTACTGGTGTGTGAGGGATATTATGTGACGGTGGTAGAGAGTGAGGCTGTAAAAGTAGTAACAGACTGGACCCCATACAGCATAGGCCTTTTTGTGTGTTTGTTTCGTTTGAAGGCATTGAGACTCTGTTGTGGAGGCGGTTGGGAGCCACTGAAGGATTTTGAACAGAGAAGATAAAAATTATTTGATATATTGTATAATTGAGAATAAGATAGGTTTTGCGGTGCTAAAAAAGGCCCAAAATTTCAGTGGCTTCAGACCACAGTCTTCCTTTTGTTCATGCCTTGTGACCACTGCGGGTCTGCTGTGTGTTGTCTTCCCTCTAGGACCCTGTCAGCAGAGCCTCTTTTGCAGTGTTGCTGATCTTGTGACAGAGGGTGAGCAGCACAGTAAAGCGCTGACCAGCTCTTAAGAGTTTCTGCCCACATTTCAGTGCTAAAGCAGATCACATGGTTAAGACTTCTGTTAAGGAAGTGGGGGGAGTATAATGTTATGGAAAGCAGGGCAGCAGATATTTATGATAATAGCACTGTCTACCACATACACATTTTGGAAATCTCTACAGCATTACAGTGTGGAGAATGGAATGTGACAAGAAATGTGTGAAGAAATGCATCAATAATGGCTTCAGGTTTGGATATGTTCAATTTGAGCAGCGTTTGGGCTGTTGAGGTGGAGATGTTAGTGAACCATTTGGAAGCAGTGGCTTGCAGTTTGAGCAGGACGTCTGGTAGAGATGCAGACCTAGCAGTATGTAATAGAAACATGGATCTGGCAGTGAGTGAGCTAACCCAGAGGGGACAGCAGGAACGCAGATTTAAGAAACATTCGCATTGGAGGGGAGTGGAAGAGAAGGTGTCAGTGATGACATAAAAGTTTTGCACAGATGTTTGTGTAGAAGGATCAAAGAGTACATGTAATGGAAGCCTCTTCATGTCAGATGTCACGGAGAGGTCAAGAAAGATTTGGACATTAATAATTGGGAAGATGATTTTTATAAAACCAGTTTGCAAGTGCAGAGTTAGAGCAGTTTGGCTGCTTGAGAAGGGACTGCTAGAATTCAGGTGGCCTTGGTTGGTATAAATTTGAGCTCTTTATTTCCAGCAATGAGGTAAATTAGATGTACTGAGCAAACAAACTTCTTGGTCCCTAAAACTAAAATACTAGATAAAACTTGGAAAACATTTCTTAAAACATTGCTGAACTTTGAGATAAATAAATAGGAAACCAGACGTTTTCAGAAAGCTTGATCCAACAGAACTAAAGAGTATTAGAACCGTTTGACATCTGCCTCATTCCTGGTGGCGTAGAGCCTGAGCAGCACAGAGGTTCACATCAGATTTCCCTGCATAAATCTGGCACTCCCTAAAGGTGACATTTACCAGGGTAAGAGCAAATGGAAACCAACCCATCACAGAAGAAGGCAGGAGCAAGAAAAGGAGCACCTCTCCACAAGCTCATTCTCACCTCCTGTCTCACATGCAGATTTTTTTTTTTTAAGGTTTTAGTTATGTATTTATTTGACAGAGAGTGAGAGAAAGCACAGCAGGGGGAGGGGCAGAGGGAGAGGGAGGAGCAGGCTCCCCACTGAGCAGGGAGCCCAATGCAGGACTCGATCCCAGGACCCTGGGATCATGCCCTGAGCTGAAGGCAGATGCTCCCCTCACATGCAGATTTATATTGCCTGTGGGACCCAGAAAAAAATTAATGAAAATTTGTTGTCGAATGGTAGTGCCCTGAGTTTATTCCAGAGCCAAATGCAAATTTAATTCCTATTCCGTATAAACTTAAGTGTTTTTGCTCAGTACATCCTCAGTATTGGTTGACCTAGCATTCTCATTTACTCCAGTAGCACAAGAGTGACAACCTTTATTTTGCATTCAAAAGGCAAATCACTCAGTCAGAACTATGGCCTAACCTTCTAGTTACAGACAAAAAAATGAAATAGTAGAGAGTTTAGAGACCCTCTGTTTAGTAATTGAGATACATAAACAACTGAACAAATACAGTTTTGTACAAGACATCTTAGGGCCCATCCTTGAACTAATGCTCTGTTTTGAAATACATCCAAAGGGATAAATACACTAAAAGGGATAGTATATGTTTAATATATGGTTTTACTGATGGCTGCAGTCGTTGTTATGAAAGCTATTGTCTATGACCTTAGCAGGATCTATTGGGAAACAGGACAGTATCCTGCCTAGACTGACTTATACTGTGGAAGCTGGGTTTCCAAGGGCAGATGTTCTCAGAGAGACCCAGGTGGAATGTGTCCTGCCTTTTCTAACCCGAACTTGGAAATCAGCATGTTCTTCTGTGGAATTCTCTTTGCTAGAAGCACCTCACTAAGGGCAGCTCATACTCAAGAGGAGAATTAAATGCTACCACTTGGTGGGAGAACAAAGACTTGGGTACAGGTTGTAATAGCTCTACAAGCAGGTAGGCTGTTGCTTTAGGGCAGGGAGACAAGGTTAGCTTAGTATCGAGTGGCTGTGGTAGTGTGAAGGAAAGTGGATAGGTTGAAGAGACCAGACTAACATAAAACCACATTTTATGGTTTGTGGGGAGAGTAGAGGAGAAATAATAGATGATGTGACCTGAGCTTGGCTGACAAAATTCCTGCCTTGTAACTGGTGCTCCATATATATAATGTAGAAGAGTTGCCTTTATGGTATCGTTCACTGAGGTTCGTAGTCTGGAGGAGCAAGGTTGAAGGAGGAGGTAATGACTTAAGTTGTGAATGTGAGTTGAGAAATCTGTGAAACATGCAAAAGTAGAGAAGTAGAAGAAAAGTTTTATCCAGAAAATAGAGATTTGGGCATCTCAGAATATAGGTGGTAGTTGAATGAATTGCCAAAGAGCTTGGAGAGTTCAACGAGGAAAGCACTTGTACCAGAGAAAGTGAGAAATGCTCACGGACTCAAGCCAGGTATAGGAAGGAAGCAGTTCTCATTGTGGTCATCTTCAGAGAAAATTGAAGATGCGTATGTGTGTTCTTATCATTGAAACTGTGAGAATAAACATGTTGCCATTGGGGAAGTAAGTATGAAAAGTAAAGACACAGTATCGGGGATTAGGGACCTCTACAGTTAAATCTGATAGTGTTGCAAGTAACTGGAAGATAATCAAAATGTATTACCAGAGAAACAGTGGAGGCCAGATTTTAAGAAGTAGTGATATTTAATAGGTCTGAGAATTTGAAATTTGAAAAATCCTGAATTTAAACAAGACTCTACTGGATATTATCTGAAGGAAGTTACTGGTAATTTGAGAAAAATTGATGAGACGGAATCTAGAATGCCCCAGGCTTGTAAAGGAGTACCTAGAATAGTACCACATTTTAAACTCACATAGGTAGGAAATCCATTGATCAGCTTTGGAAAAGTACGACCTTTGTTCATTAATAGTAAGCAACTAGGTCTCTTGGGAAATGGCCCTGTTACAATCTGATGTTTACAGATACTGTAAAACTAATATGGCTTGCCAGAGGAAGGTGAGCATTTCCCACATTATGTGTAGTCATAAAAACGTGTGGAGTGGTATTTGAAGAAACAAAGATCACCAAGTCGTTGGGCCACTAAGATAACAAGATTCATTGAAGGCCACTTATTTTCCGATCTTACCGTCAACATGTGTTCTTTAAATTAGTTTATACATATGTTTAGTATTCTAGTTTTAAAGCTTTTCTTAAGAAGTTTCACTTATATCCTTTGTACTTGCAGCATTGTCAGAAAAAGCACTGAACTAGAAATACCACCAGCATTTAACTGGCAAGTCTCTACAGTTAGATGGACTGTCAGTTTTGAAGAAATACACTATTTCTTTCTGCTCCTCATCTCAGAGAGTGAGAATTGTTGTTGTTGCTTTTTAACTCACATATTGTTAGGGAAACAGGCCAATTTTGAATTTATCATGATTACTGTAATACGCCTTATTCAGGAAAATAAACCATCAGCTTGCTTGGGAGAGACAAATGCATATGGTGTTAGGATGTTTAATCCTGTTAAGAAAAATGGAGCAGTATTCCTTTGATGTAAAAAGTTAATTTAAATGACTAGCTGTGTTCAGTTTGTCTCTATGTGTGATTTGTTGTCTTATTTAGTAAACGGAGTTCCCTCTCGAAGTCCAAGATTGCTTGCTTCCGGGGATGACTCTGTGGATAGTCTGCTGCAGCGGATGGTCCAACATGAGGACCAGGAGCCCCTGGAGAAGAATATAGATGCTGTGATTGCATCTGCCTCGGGGCCACCTCCCTCCAGTCCAGGCCGCAGCCACAGCAGGGAGCGAGCCCTGGGAAAACCGGACAGCCTTCTGGTGCCCTCAGCCCCCGGTGACTCTTGCGGTAGTAGCATCTCACTCCTGTCTGAGAAGCTGCCGAGCAGCTGCTCGCCCCATCATATCAAGAGAAGTGTTGTGGAAGCCATGCAGCGCCAAGCTCGGAAAATGTGCAATTATGACAAAATCTTGGCCACTAAGAAAAACCTGGACCATGTCAATAAAATATTAAAAGCCAAAAAACTTCAGAGACAGGCCAGGACAGGGAATAACTTTGTGAAACGCAGACCAGGGCGACCTCGGAAATGCCCTCTCCAGGCTGTGGTGTCAATGCAAGCATTCCAGGCTGCCCGGTTTGTCAGCCCTGACTCGAATGAAGGCGAAGAAAGAGCAGCCCTACCCCTCCGTCCCGACACAGTTACAGATGTCATTGAGGCTGTTGTACAGAGCGTAAACCTGAGTCCAGAACATAAGAAGGGGCTGAAGAGGAAAAGTTGGCTGTTGGAAGAACAGACCAAGAAAAAGCAGAAGCCATTCCCAGAGGAAGAGCAAGAGCATACTAAGAGGTAAGTATCCTTGTTTGACATTTTATCTGAGGGGAGAAAAACAGCTTTTTATAAACGTAACATACATATGCAGCTTAATTCTTCAGGTAACCTCCTAACCTTTCATTATGTAAAACCTGCTCTTCTGTTTTATTTAAAAGTGTTATTTATGGCTGCCCGCAATTATGAAATATTAAGAAGCACATGGGATGTAACAGTCCAGGCTGAAACCCTGACTTTGCAGAGGAGGAATTCAAGGGCCCAGAGAGGTTATGTGTTTTACCCAACACATAGCTGTGTGCCTGGGATTAGTTTTAGGCTCACACTCTTCTCTGTGCTCCAGACTTTTCATCCTGTCGTCACACATTTTTCTGCATGTTAGATTTATTTTCTTCATAGTTTCCTTATTATAGTCTTACTTTTTTCTAAAAGGTGTAGAGTGCAGAGCCAAAAATCACTCCCCAAAAAAGAGCTTTTAATCCTTTTGTTACGTGTCCAACCAGATTCTTTCCCTGAAGGTACGCTTGGTAGTTTTAAATGAGTTATAATATAGTATTCACCATTTGCAGATGACTTTTCCTTTACTAAATACAGCATGCTCATTCATAGTTACATGGCGGCCCTGTTCACAATTAGAGAAATACAAATTAAAACTGCTAGACACGTTTTTAAGCCTCTTAACATTTATTTTCAAACTGCTCTCTTAAAAGCTACACCAATTTATACTTCTACTAATTTTATACAGTAATAGTCATATACTTCTTACCGCCCACTCTTACCTACCCTGGCAATTATCTTTCTAAAAATCTTTATCGGAGGCAGGGCAAAAATGTCTTCATCAGTTTAATTTAGGTGAAATATACTTCCTAAATGTTGCTTCCTACTTATTTTAATTTGCACTTATTTGCATATTGGGACATTAGTATTTGTTTATGTACCTTACCTATTTTTTAGGTACTCATTATATACAGTCAGAATGATAACCCTTTGTGTTTGTTGTTTTCTTTTTATTTTCTTGCCAAACAATAATACAACAGTGAGAGTTTATCAGTCTTTTTCTCTGCCATCTGCCTTGGTGAATCCTATATAGAGAGGTTTTTCATATCTCTCTAATGCATACATCTGGGAAAAATACTTTTTTTTCCTAGAGAATATATGGGATTGAAATTTTTTTCATTGTAGTATGTGCTTGTACTACTTTTAGTGAAGCTGAAAGCTTACTGATTGAAAAGTTAAGTCTCTTTTCACATGATCTCATTTCCTCTCAAATCCTGTTCTCCTCAAAGGCGTGACTGTGAACATTGTACCACGGAGGGGCACCCAGCTGGCCCAGTCCGGGGAGCATGTGACTCTTGACCTTGGGGTCGTGAATTCAAGCCCCACTCTGAGTGTAGAGATTACTTAAAAATAAAATCTTTAAAAAAAAAAAAATCAGTATACTATGTATACTTTGATATCTTTTCTTATACCTGTACAAATGGGTGCATCTGCAAAGCTGTTGTCTTATATAAGTGGTAACACACTGTAGTTTTTAACTCTTTCTCATCATGTGTCTCAGAGATCTTGTCATTAGGACATGTAGAATTACCTTACTCCATGCTAAGAATATAGAATAATTTATTTAACTGTTCTCCTTTAATGGATTCCATATTACCTTTATTTTTTTTTAAGATTTTTATTTATTTATTTAAGAGAGAGAATGAGCAAGGAGGAGGGGCAGAGGAAGAGGGAGAAGCAGACTCCCTGCTGAGCAGGGAGCCCAATGCGGGACTCGATCCCAGGACCCTGGGATCATGACCTGAGCCAAAGGCAGATGGTTAACTAACTAAGCCACCCAGGCGCCCTCCATATAAGCTTTTGCATATAGGTGTTTAAATCAGTTGAAATTTGCTTTAGTACAAGTTATGAGTTAGTGCTATATTTATGATCACTCATTGTCAAGGTTAGTTTTATAAACATGGCTGTTTTTATGTTGTATGTAGTTTTTACTCTTTATATTCCCACTGAATTGTAGTATTTTTTTTGGAAAGGCAGGAAAATAGAGATTTCGTTTTAAAAAGAGATGTAATTTAAACTTTAAAAAAATTTTAAATGGTAGTCTTAGCACTATTTATTGATTAATTTTTCCCTACTTATTGGAAATGATACCTTTATTATATACTAAATTTTAAATGTTTTGGGGTCTTAGGGTCTATTTTTATTGTTTCTTCCCATCAGACTATTTTAGTATCAGTGTTTTTCCGTTTTAGTCACTGAGGCTTTAAAATACTGAAAAGAGGGGCATCTGGGTGGCTCAGTCTGTTAAGTGTCTTGCCTTCTGCTCAGGTCATAATCCTGGGGTCCTGGGATTGAGCTCTGTATCCAGCTCCCTGCTCCTCGGGAAGCTGCTTCTCCCACTCCCACTCCCCCTGCTTGTTCCCACCCTCACTGTCTCTCTGTCAAATAAATAAAATCTTAAAAAAAAAAAAAATGTGCTTCAGAGAAAAGGCTTTATTCCAGAAAAGCCTTTCCATTCCAGGAAATTCTAGTATCATAGTCACCAACATTAAACACTTTAATTTTCCACAAAATTACATTTTAGAATTTGAAGAAATTAACATATACATTAAATTAACAAAGCTAAGGTACAATAGAAAGAATCACCGAAGACCAAAGTTAGTTCCTTGAAGACTAATAAAATATGCACACTGCTGGTAGAGTTGATCAATGAAGAACATTATGAGTTAAAAAGGAGATAAGCTATATATGAGAGATTAAAAAATGACTCTAAGCACGTTACACCCAACAAATAGTTGAGATGTACGTATTCCTAGGAAAAACCTACCCAAGAAGAAATAGCCTGAGTGCTTCTTTTCTATAAATGGAATTTTAATTTAAAATCTTATGGCAAAAAAAAAAGCAGCAGGACTGGACGGTTTACAAGAAAATTCAACCACATTTGAAATAAAAGGATCATTCTCGTCTCATTAAAACTCTTTAGAGGCGCCTGGCTGGCTCAGTCGGTGGAGCTTGGGACTCTTGATCTCAGGGTTATAAGTTTGAGCCCCAGGTGGGTGTAGAGATACTTACATAAATAAATAAACTTTAAAAAAAAAAACAAAAACAATAAAAAACCTCTTTAGAGATGGTGAGGGAAGTAAGGAGGGGAATACACATACAGAAAGTACATAAACATGGGGCGCCTGGGTGGCTCAGTCGTTAAGCGTCTGCCTTCGGCTCAGGTCATGATCCCGGTGTCCTGGGATCGAGCCCCGCATCGGGCTCCCCGCTCTGCGGGAGGCCTGCTTCTCCTTCTCCCACTCCCCCTGCTTATGTTCCCTCTCTCGCTGTGTCTCTCTCTGTCGAATAAATAAAATCTTTAAAAAAAAAAAAAAACATAAATCAGGTTAAAATTTTTTTCCCAAAGTTAACAACCAATGTAGACATAGAAGGGGTGAATGTATGGAACACTGCTAGCTAGCATCCCATGTGCCTTCCCAATCACAAACTGCTTGCCTACCATTAGCCATAATCAGTCTCCTGACTTCTAAGGTAACCACATCTATAACTTTTTTAATACCATTTAAGTATGTAACCCTGACAATATTCTTTAGTTTATCCTTACTGAACTTCATTTAGATGGAATTTATACATGAAATATGCTTTTGTGTCTCACCTTTTTTGCTCACCATATATATACATGTTAAACCATCTATGTTGTTACACATTGCTGTAGTTACCTTCTTTTTATTGTGTACTAATCCGTTGTTTGTCTACAATACAGTTTTTCCATTTTACTGTTGGGTTATTTCCACTTTGAGGCTATTATCCAAAAATGTTTCTCTTAAAATTCCTTTAATGTCCACTGATGGATGTGGGCACTCATTTCTTTACGGTGTATTCCAGGGAATGGAATTAATGAATAAAGTAAAGGTTTTTGTCCCAAGACTTAATTTCAGGCTATGGTGTATTAAGCCAGTGTAGAACAGAACACAGTAGTTTCTCTTCTGTAAGAGAAACAGAAGCACGTATGTATGCAAGCTTGCTATATGACAGAGGTAACACTGCAATAGGGACAGAAGGGGCGCCTCGGTGGCTCAGTCGGTTAAGCGGCTGCCTTCGGCTCAGGTCATGATCCCAGGGTCCTGGAATCGAGCCCCGCCTCGGGCTCCTTGCTTGGTGGAGAGCCTGCTTCTCCCTCTCCCTCTGTCTGCTGCTCTGCCTACTTGTGCTCTCTCTCTATCTCTGTTAAATAAAAATCTTAAAAAAAATAAAATAGGGACAGAAAACAATATTTAATAAATTGTGCCCTAAAAGTTGATATCACAGGGCGCCTGGGTGGCTCAGTTGGTCAAGCGACTGCCTTCAGCTCAGGTCATGATCCGGGATCGAGTCCCACTTCGGGCTCCCTGCTTGGCGGGGAGTCTGCTTTTCCCTTTGACCCTACCCCCTCTTGTGCTCTCTCTCTCTCAAATAAATAAATAAAATCTTTAAAAAAAATTGATATCACATAGTAATGGAAAAGAAATTGGATTCTGTCTTATCCTGTATAATAAAATTAATTCCCAGTTGACTGAATCCATAAGCATTAAAAGCAAAACTTTTTAAACTTTCTAAGTCTAATAGATGGAAGGAGAAAAATATCACAACCCTGTTGTCAGGAAGGATTTCATAAACAAGATATCAAAAGCAGTAATCATACAAGTAAAGACTGATATACTGGATTATATTAAAACTAAGAATTTCCAGGGGTGCCTGGCTGGCTCAGTCATTAAGCGTCTGCCTGCGGCTCAGGTCATGATCCCAGGGCCCTGGGTTTGAGCCCCGCATCAGGCTCCCCGCTCCGCAGGAAGCCTGCTTCTCCCTCTCCCACTCCCCCTGCTTGTGTTCCCTCTCCCGCTGTGTCTCTCTCTGTCAAATAAATAAATAAAATCTTTACTACGGAAATTCTCTAGACTCTTCCAATAAAACCTATGCCATAATTGGGCATAAGAAGCTAAGGATTTCTACTCATCAAACATCATCATGGCAAATATATGAAGACTTGCTACAAAGTGGGAAATTTATAACACATATAATGTGTATAGTTTTGGTATCCAGAATATATAACAAAAAAAATGTGTTACAAATAAATTCTATATAATCTAGCAGTTCCCCTTTAGAAAGCTCTTGCCCAGCAATCACCAGAAAACACTTTTCAGAAAGGTAGTAGCAAGATTGGTTATAACATATAGAAAATGGAAATATCCAAGATTACCGTTAAAAGGAATAAATATATTCTAGTTTTTCACACAATGGAATATGATATGGTAATAAAAATAATGAATTACAGCTGATATGTAATAATAATGGATGAGTCTTAGAAACATAATATTAAGTAAAAAAAAAGTCCCTAAAAATGATTTACTAGCTGGTACTGTTTTTATAAAGCAAAAGAAAAAGAAAAACCATGGAAACTGAACAAAGTATTGTATTGATGTAGATAAATATATCATAAAACCATATTTTATCTTTTTTATTTATTTCTTTTAGAGAGCACACATGCAAGTCGAGGGGGGGTGGGTGGTGGAGGTGCAGAGGGAGAGAGAGAGACTCTTAAGCAGGTTCTGTGGCCAGTGTAGAGCCCCACAAGGGGCTTGATCTCATGACCCTAAGATCATGACCTGCACCAAAATCAAGAGTCTGGCACTTAACTGACTGAGCCACCCAGGCTCCCCCATAAAACTTTTTTTTTTTTTTTTTCTTCAGAGAAAGAGTGCATGCACTGGGGGAGCGGGGAGGGGGGAGATTGAGAATCTCAAGTAGACTCACTGCAGAGTGCAGAGCTCACCTCGGGCCTCAATCTCATGATCCTGAGATCATGACCTGAGCCGAAACCAAGGGTCGGGTACTCAGCCTACTGAGCCACCCAGGCGCCCCTTGAAATAATATTGTTTTAAAGCCATTAGGCATAGGTATCCAAATGGGGTATGGAAACCATGGTGACCCTGGGTTTGATGTTAGAGACCTAATGGAGTGAGGAGTTGGGCCATGGTACAAAGTAGGGAGAGCAGCAGTGCAGTGTAGGGTGTCAGAGGCTAAGTAGAATGAGATGGATGTTCTTGTAAAGGGAGTGTACAGGGTGGCATAGTTGTGTAAGCATCCAGCTCTTGATTTTGTCTCAAGTTAGGATCTCGGGATTGTGAGATCAAGCCCCATGTCAGGCTCCACACTTGGCGGGGAGTCTGCTTCTCTCTCTCTCTCTCTCTCTCTCTCTCTCTCTCTCCCCTCCTCTGCCCCTGCCCTCACACACACACACACACACACACACACACACACACACACTCTCTCTCTCTCTCTCTCTCAAATAAATAAATCTTTAAAACAGAGAGAATAAGTGCCTAGTGTTGGATATAGATACCAGCAAGGTTAGGAAGTTGTCCATCCCAGACTTCATTAATAAGAATTTTTAAAATTCTGTGAATAGGCATTTGCATTTCTTGTAAGCTGTCATGGTAATTCTGATGTGTGTGGTCTATGGACAGCACATGGGGAAACGTGGCACTTGGAGCATTTATATATGTAGGTGATAAGCAGGAAAGCAGAAAACATTTTTGATTGCAGAAGAAAGAAATAAGGCACAGAAGTAGAAATGAATTTGCCTGGAAAGGAGAACAGTAAAAAATAATAAATTAAATGATTAAACACTTAAGAACAGGTAAAAAGATAATAAGTTGATTGGATAGACGGATGGATGGGTAGATAGATAGATCCTATAACCAAGTATGATGTATCCCAGTTATGTAAGATTTGTTCAACAATTAAAAGTCAATTAAGGTTATTCATCACATCAAAAGGCTGAAGAAAAATCACACGAATGCCAATAAATGAAGAAACATAATTTCACAGACTCTAATACATGTTTGTGATAAAAACTCTGAGCATTCTATGATCAGAAAGAAACTACCTCAACATAATAAAGGCCATGCACAAAAAAAAACACAGCCGACAGCCTCAGTGGTGAGAGGTTGAGAGCTTTCCCCTGATGCCAGGAACGAGGGAAGGTGCCCTCCTGTGCCACTTCAACACAGCAGAGTATTAAAATTCCCAACCAGAGCCGTCGGGCAAGAAAGAAGTAAAAGGCATCCACATTGTAAAGGAAAAAATAAAATTAGCTCTGTTCACAGATGCCATGATCTTATATGCCAAAAACCTTGAATATCTCACACAAAAACTATTAAAGCTACTGAACAAGTTCAGCAAAGTTGAGAACACAGAATCCACATACAAAATCAGCTGCATTTCTGTAAACCAACAATTTTCCCAAAAGGTCCCAAAAGGAAATTAAGAAAACAATTCTTCTTACGGTAGCATCAAAAAGAATAGAATAGTTAAGAATAAATTTAGGAAGGCAAAACTTGTATGTTGAAAACTACAAAACAGGGCGCCTGGGTGGCTCAATTGGTTAAGTGTCTGCCTTTGGCTTAGGTCATGATCTCAGGGTCCTGGGATAGAGTCCTCCGTCAGACTCCCTGCTCTGCGGGGAGTCTGCTTCTCCCTTGCCCCTCCTCCCACTCATTCTCTCAATCTCTCTCTCTTTTTCAAATAAATAAAATCTTAAAAAAAAAAACAAAACTACAAAACATTGTTTAGTGAAATGAAAGAAGACGTGAATAAATGGAAAGACAGCTTGTGTTCATGGACTGGAAGACCTAATGTTAAAATACCAGAACTACCCAAAGCGATCTACAGATTCAGTGCACAATCCCAGTGATGTTTTTTATGAAAATAGAAAAACCTATCCTAAAATTCATCAGGAATCTCAAGGAATCCCAAACAGCCAAAACAATCTTGAAAAAGAATGAAATTAGAGAACTGACTCTTCCGGTTTTTTTCTTTTTCTCACCTTTTTGCACTGTCTAGAACTTTTTTCTTTGATGCTGAACATATGATGAGAGCAGACAATTTCCTTGTCCATAATATTAGGGAAACAGTTTGTTCTTTTTGCCTCAGACTCAGTAGTGAAAGACTATGTAGGAAATTCCCTGCCATGTCATTGCTTTGGTCGCAAGGGCCCTAGCAATCTGTTTGCTTATGTTTGTGTTTTTTATAATTTCTAGGGTTTTTAGTTTTACTTAGTGGAACGATAAGTGGCAGTATCTATTCCATCTCTGCCTGGAACTGGAATTGGCTTAGTTTTTTTTTTTTAAGATTTTATTTATTTGAGAGAGAGAGAGCACGCGGGAGCACAAGCTGGGGGAGAGCAGAGAAAGTGGGAGAAGCAGACTCCACACTGAGCAGGGAGCCTGACGTGGGGCTCCAGGATCACAACTTGAGCTGAAGGCAGATGCTTAACAGACTGAGCCACTCAGGCGCCCCAGGAATCAACTTAATTTTTAAAGATGTTTTTGACTGACTTAGAATTCTATTTTAACAGGCCTTTCCTCCTTCCCCTCTTTCTCCCCTTCCTCCTCCTTTAGTACTTACAGATGTTATATCATTGCCTTCTGGCTTGCATTGTTTCAGACAGGAAATCTGCACTCATTCTTATTTTTGTACTCCTGTATAGGTTGTGTATTTTGTCCTCTCGCTTCTTAAATTTTCTTGAGTAGTTTTTAGCGATTTACTATGATATGCCTTGTTTTATTTGAATTTGTATTGTTTATGGTTTGTTTAGCTTCTTGGAACTTTAAGTTTATACTTTTTATCAAATTTAGAAAATATTTGGCCATGAATCTTTGGGTTTTTTTCCCTGTGAATTTCTTTACATTGTAAATGTTGCATAATTGTGTGTGTGGTTTTTGTTCTTTTCCCAATGTTCAGGGTTTTTTGGTAGGCAGTTAAGTTACTTGTGGTTTGGCTTAGATTCTTTTCAAGACTGTTTTTAAGCTTTATTAGTGCTGGTCTTTAGTCGAGGAATAGTTGAGCTATATGGAAATGAGTGATACTCCCCTCTGGGATATCTGTGGAATGCCCTAGTATTAGGCAGTGTCCTTGCACTCTGCCTTGTGGAATCACCTGCCATCGTGTGTGAGCTCTGGGAGTTGTTCAGGTTACAACATACAGTAGGTTGGTGGTTCTTTGTCCAGCCTTATAGAATTTCACCCTGCATGTACACAACCTAGCATTTAGCAGTGTACTATGGGAGGCCCTTACAGATTTCTAGAATTACTTTCCTCTGTGGCTTTCTCCACGCCAGTACTCTGCCCCAGCAGTCCCGGTGCCCTCAACCTCTCTGCTTTCTGTTCAGTTCATCACGTTGGCTGTTCTCTGCTGTGGCTCTTCTCCTTCCACCATCACCCTCCCTACAAAGGGAAATTGCTCTAGGACCATTCTTTTTTTTTTTTTTTCCCCTTAAGTAGGCTCCACACCCAGCGTGGAGCCCCACACAGGCCCGAACGCACAGCCCTGAGATCAAGACTTGAGCCAAGATCAAGAGCTGGACTCGAAACTGGTTGAACCACCCAGGCGCCTTCTTATTTTTTTTTTCTTTCTTTTTTTCTTTTCCGTTTTCTCAGGGTCAGAGTGCTGTCCTGTTATCCAGTGCCTGCTAAGTGTTTCGTAAACCTCCAGGTTTACAGTAGTTTACTGTATTTCTAATAGTTTCTGTCAGGAGGACAAGTCTGGTATCTGTTACTCCATCACAGTCAGATGAGGAAGTCCCGTACCTTGTGTTTTACTTGCTGTCTTGTTCTTTAAATAGCCAATAATAAACATTTCCTTTAAACTTGTCTTTCTAGCTTTACTGAAGCAGCAGTTGAGATTCCCAGTCCTCCTGAAACCCCAGCCAAGCCTCCCGAACCTGAAAATACCTTGCAGCCTGTGCTTTCTCTCATCCCAAGGGAAAAGAAGGCCCCACGTCCCCCAAAGAAGAAGTATCAGAAAGCAGGGCTGTATTCTGACGTTTACAAAACTACAGAGTAAGTAGTATTACCTATCAGCTGACAGGCTTTGCAGACCTGTTATTCTTCCATGTTCGAAAAAACACTTTTGAGTATCAGAAAACATGATACAAGTGTAATGTACACAGATAAGAATCTCAGCACAAACACCTTGGTGTTCACTTTTCTCATGATACTGCCCTGTGCTGTTTGGGGCTGATTATTTTCTCAGATCTTTTTCTGGGGTGGTTGGTTTTTGTTTGTTTCATTTTTTTATTTAAATTCTAGTTAGTTGGCATAGTATAACACTAATTTCAGTATCTTCCCTCATCTTTATCTTCTCTCTGCCTGTCTAAATTATATATCTGTAGTTTGGATTCTAATGGTGCCTTTTTTCTTAATTAAACATAAGAAAAATGGCACTATGTGTGTATCTCTAATGACCTTGATGATTTTCTGCATTCATTCTTCATTCATTGAATGCTTTCTTGTTTCCAAACACTTTGTCAGATGAGTAAAATATACTTCTTGTAAGAACGTCCTCTTCCCTTGGGAAGGTACAGCTGAAGAAGCACTCTCAAGAATCTGTAGAGCTTGGGGGCGCCTAGGGGCCTCAGTCAGTTGGGTGTCTGCCTTCGGCTTGGGTCATGTTCCCCGGGGCCTGGGATCAAGCCCTGCATCGGGCTCCGTGCTCAGCAGGAAGCCTGCTTCTCCCTCTCCCCCTGCTCATGTGCACTCGCTTTCTCTCTCTCTCTCTCTCTCTCTCTCTCTCTCTCTCTCTCTCTCTCTCTCAACTAGATAAATAAAAAATATTTAAAGTAGAGCCTGAAGAGATACCACCTGTCACTGAGTAAGAGGTATCTCAGAGAATACAGTTGAGGTAGGTTCTGGAAGTTCAGTACTAGTTTGCAAGGTAGAAAAGGGCATTCCAGTTGAAGAGGATAGCCTGTCCTAGGCACATACTAGGATGCAAAGATTTTTCAGTGCTTCTGAAATGTAGTGGTGTTGTGGAAAATAAGCACTGCTTGATAGAGATCACAAAACCATGGACCTAATGGACTCTTGAGATACTTACCTCATTAAGCTGTAGGAAATTAAATAGGATATTTTTAGGAAAGGAAAAGTGCAAATATGTGTTATAAGGAGCTCTAGCCCCAGAGCGGAAAATGAATGAGGGGTGACTAATGGGAGAAACGCAGTGTCCCTCAGAAGGTCGTGACGGTCTGAATTTTGGCAAGAAAGAGTGAAATAGAAAGAGGAAAGAGTAGATTTTAGAGCTATATCTTACTTGGTGTGGTTAAAGTGATCTCCATGTAAACCACAGCACCTTATTTTGCATTGAAAAGATTTTCTATTAGGACACATGTGTGGCTCAGTTGGTTAAGTGTCCACCTTCAGCTCAAGTCATGATCTCAGGGTCCTGGGATAGAGCCCTGCATTGGGTTCCCTGTTCAGCGGGGAGCCTGCTTCTCCCTCTGCCTGCTACTCCCCCTGCTTGTGTGTTCTCTCTCTCTCTCTCTCTCTCTCTGACAAATAAATAAATAAAATCTTAAAAAAAAAAAAGATTTTCTATTTATTTGCCACTGAAGTAGATGCCACATAAGCTGTTTGTACTCTGTTCCTGCTTCTTGGATCATGAAAATGTTTTAATCATTAAGCTTATTAGTTTCAGCTCCCAAAATAGGAAATTCTCTCAAATATCCAAGACTTGAAGAAGATAGACATTCATTTTCCTTTAATGTAAAAAACGTTATGAAGTACACACTTCAGGGTTAATGTGGGAACTTCACAGTATCTTCAGGGATCTAGAATCCTTTCTTTCTGTTCTTCCATCTCAGCATTAAGCTTCCATTTCTGTGGTTACCTGTTATTCCAACATAGCTGCTAGAGTTCAGCCATAAGGTCATCATTTTAGAAAGCAGAAAAGAAGAAAGGGAGTATAAAAAGCATGCAGCTTCTTTGCAAGGAAACAGTATGAAGTGAATGTGTCTTCCCATCCCCAACCCCAAAATTCATAATTTGAATCCCTAGTCCCTGATGTGATGGTATTTGGAGGTAGGGCTTTTGGGAAGTAATTAGGTCATGAGGGGGTAGCCCTGGTGAACAGGATTAGTGGCCTTAGAAGAAAACACAGAGAGGTGATCTCTCTCCACTGTGTGAGGAGTAGCAAGAAGGTGGCATTGCAAGCCAGGAAGAGTGTTCTCACTGGAATTCAACCCTGATCTTGGACTTTCTAGCCTCCAGAAGAGTGAGAAATAAAAATTTGTTTTTTAAGCCACCCATTAATGTATTACAGCAGCCCAGACTGACTAAGAAAGGAAGCTTACAAAATATAGTCCCTGGCTAGAACATAATCACAGAACCACACTTCAGCCACATCAGGCTGGGAAATAATGGTTAATATTTCAGATGATGGTGCCTAAAAAAAAATTAGCATTCTGTAACTATAAATGAGAAAATGGAAATGTATTTTGGAAAGAGCTATTTTAGTTATAATTTTAAGCAATGTTCTCAGTTTTCTGCTCAATAATTTTAAGTTCAATTTTTATTTCTGTGTGTACTAATGTACTTTTTGTGAATTAAATCCCTTAAAAAAGGAGATTAATAATAAAGTCAGACTGTGAGTCAAAAGATCAGTATCTTCAACCACATCGGTGTTTTAAAATGTCTCTCATCAGGGGAGGCCTGGGTAGTTCAGTTGGTTAGCGTCCGACTCTTGATTTTGGCTCAGGTCATGATCTCAGGGCTGTGAGATCGAGCCCTGTATCAGGCTCTGTGGTCAGTGGGGAGTCTGCTTGAGATTCTCTTCCTTTCCCTCTCCCTCCCCCTTGTTTATGTAAGAACGAGCTACTCACCTCTTAGAAATGAGGAAGACAATGGGTTTATTTTGGAATATTTTGAAGAAATTGATCAGACTGATACATGTATACATTTTTACAAATTGTGAAGCCAGTATATTTTTGTGGGCTGGTTGGTTATTGTTTGTAGCAATTTGGGGTTTTTTCTTTGTTTTGTTTTTTAATTAATAAATAATTATTTAGAGCAGTTTTAGGTTAACAAAATTAATATAAAGTGATGAGAGTTTGCATATAACCCCTGGCCCGCACAGCCTCTCCTACTTTCAACATCTTGCATCACAGTGTTAGATGTATTATGATCAGGAACCTACACTGTGACACATCATTATCCCCTCAAAGTCCATAGTTGACGTTAGAGTTCACTCTTGGTGTTGTATGTTGTATGGGTTTTCATAAATGTATGACGTGTATCCACCACTGTAATATCCCACAATGATTTCCCTGCCCCAAAAATCCTCCATGTTCTGTCAGTTTGTTTTTGGGCCACAGCATGGTACAAAGAAATTGCAGAGTTACTCTTTTGTATGTAAATCATCATAGGTTTTAAAAAGTTATGAGGGGATGTGATTTCACTCATACATGGAATTTAAGAAATGAAACAAAACAAGGGAAAAAGAATGAGACAAACCAAGAAACAGACTCTTTACACCCTAGAGAATACACTGATGGTCACCAGAGGGGAGGTGGGTGGGGTGGCAGGGAAAATAGGCGATGGGAGAGGAAGGAGTGCACCTGTCATGATGAGCACTAGGTGATACATGGAAGTGTTGAATCACTGTATTGTACACCTGAAACTAATATCACACCATGAAATAGAGTAATCGCAGTGTCGGGGTGTTGGAAAGGGTAGGCTCTTGAAAATGTTGATGTTATGGGGACGCCTGGGTGGCTCAGTCGTTAAGCGTCTGCCTTCGGCTCAGGTCATGATCCCGGGGTCCTGGGATCGAGCCCCACATCGGGCTCCCTGCTCCGCGGGAAGTCTGCTTCTCCCTCTCCCGCCCCCCCGCTTGTGTTTGTTCCCTCTCTCGCTGTGTCTCTCTCTGTCAAATAAATAAATAAAATCTTTAAAAAGAAAATGTTGATGTTAAAATTGAAAGGGATCAAATATTGGGTGGATGGTACGAATTCAAGGACAGGGCTAGAGTCAGTGATGATCCCAGTGTTTTATTTTGTATTCCTGGTTGGATAATGATATCATTAGTGAAAATACCAGAAACAAGTGTTATAGATAGTACTCCTTGGTTTAAGAAAACCTGTATTATTAATATACCTTTATTTAGGTACCAAAAATGTCTAGTAATACAGTCAACAGATTACTAACAGAGGTTAACCTGCTTATTAGTTTTCTGTGCCTCCTGTAGCAAGTTACTTAAGTTACTTGAAGCAGCACAGATTTATTATCTTACAGTTCCTGGGGTCAGAAGTTCAAACTGAGTCTCTCGGGGCTAAAATCAAGGTGTTGGCAAGGCTGCAGTCCCTCTGGTGGCTCTAGAATAGAATCCTTTTCTTGCCTTTCCAGCTTCAAAAAGCTACCCACATTTCTTGGATTGGGGCCCCTTCTGTCTTCAAAACCAGCAATGACAGATTGAGTCCTAGCATTTTAACACTTCAACCTTATTCTCTTGTCACTGACTTTGCCTGTTTTATGTTCCTCTTTCATTTATAAGCTCCCTTGTGATTATATGGGGCTCACCCAGATAATCCAGAATAATCTCCCCATCTCTAAATCAACAGATAAGAGACCTTAATTCCTTCTTCATATTCCCAGTTTCTGGGGATGGCAGTGTGGGCATGGGAGGAAGGGTGGATATTCCTGTGCCTACTGTACCACTCTAGGTTATGGGATTTAAATCAGGGAAGTGGGGTTTGCACTTCTCATTTTATGTTTGTCTTTATTTTTTGAAGTTATAAAAAAGCTGTATTACTTTTGGAATTTAAATTTAATTTTATCTAAAAGGAATTTAAAAGACTATGTTAAATCAGATATATATCAAGTGAATTGGAGATTGAACTTCAGACTTGAGTATTTTGGTGAATATTTTGAGTATTAGTTTCTCTGAAATCATAAAAATGAAACTTTATTAATGAAATGAAGCTGTTGAACTATATACTTTGTATATTGATGGGAGTACTGAAGCTAATAAAAGGTTAAATGACTTACTCAGGTCACACAGATCATTT